ATAGGTAAAATTGCTCTAAATAAATTTATCGTCTCTCTTAAAATTGAAATGTAAAACAACCGAACAGAAAATTCGTCGTCTTTATTTCATTTTAGAGCAACTATTTTTTTTTTCCTTACTTGAGATAATATAAGCAGTTATCCCACCTTTTTTTTGAGATATATTTATTTATTTTATTCATTTATTTGGTAGGCTATATGGGCGTACAGTGGTCATTATCGCCCAACTGAAGAGCATTTCACAGAGTTAATTCAGTTCCTTGAGGAACAGCATGTTGACTTGAGTAATGTTCAGGTTTGAGTTATTCTTAACCTTGTCCACATGAATTCTAATGTTGTCTTGTGGTCGATAATCACTTATGCAGATGACTTGTGCTCACGATCATGACCATTACTTGTGGTCGATGATTAAACACGTAACTTATGCTTGTAATCTCAAAGTGATTATGATGCACGATCACAATCATTAATGTACAGTCGGACTAGTGATTACAATGCACAATCACACTAGTTAGGGACCAAGAAAGGAGAATTTTTCTAGCTCGTCTAAGTTGTCCAAACTCAAACAAGCTGCATATCGTATAATATTTTGAAAAACTTTCGACGGATTCTTTTTTTTTTTTGGCAGAAAGGGCCAATAGATGATGATGTTCCACCGGTTGAGAAAGCAAAATCTGTAGACAATACAAGTGCGCCTCCTTTACAAAACTTTATTCCTCCTGTTAACAATGATAACGAAACTGGAGTTGTTCGTAGTAATGCCATCTGAGTGGACGACTGGAGCTTGCCTGAAAATTTTCCACGTCAGTTCATCTAAAATTTCATTGAGGGTCATTTAACTTTCATCATACTTACAACTAGGTCATTGCAACGGCATCATACTTGCAACTAGGTTACTAAACTTCAATTTGGTGTGATCATGCTAATGTACTTTAGTTCGAGCAATCTGCTCACTCCTTTTGGTGGAGAAATGGTGAATATTGAAGGTTTCTTTCATATATGTAATCAACGCATTTGGAGATTAATCCTTTCAATTTTCTGCTCTCCTCTTAATTACTATGCAGTAACTCAATATTATTATTCTGTGAATTGTGTGTTATGTTATAGTCTGATGGTATTAGCATGCAGCGTTGTTCACGGTTGATAGCTTAAATAGCAAGGCTAGTTGGAAATGGTTAAAAATTTGGGTTCCATCTTAAAAGATCAACCTTGTTAGGAGGAGCAACTCAATCCTTTATAAATTAGTTTGTGTTTACATCTTTATTCGATGTGGAATTCTATCCCTTAATATGCCCTCACCCAGCAAGATGGTTACTCGTTTGAGCAAACCAATCTTGAAATTCTTATGCTCACTTTTGAAGTCTTAACCGGATCGAATTGCTCGTTAGAACTTAATAGGCTTTGATACCACGTTAAGAATTGAGGTTCAATCTTAAAAGGTCAACCTTGTTAATATGAGTAACCCAATTCTTTATAAGTTGGTTTGTGCTTATATCTTTATTCGATGTGAGATTCTATCCCTTAATAGAAATGAACGTCTCATTTGCCTAAGAAGATGAAGTGTATGTTTATATCGTTCATTTACATTGGGTGTCTTTCGACTAAGCCTATGTTTGACTCATCTATAATATATTAAGTCCTTGTTTAATCCCAATTATTTCTAAAATACATTTATCTCCATATTCATTTCAGTCACACATTTTTCAATAAAATAATATTACACGCAAACTCAAAACTTTTCCTTATTTTTCAACACATATTATCCATCAATCCATTATTCCAAAATATATTCTTTAGAAAAAATGTGGCTCAAACATGCTCATATCACATCGAGTGAGAATCATTTTTTGGACGATTATAGTCTTACTAAATTCAATTATTTTAATAGTACATTATTTTTCGTTTTTCAATATTTATTTATTGTAATAAATATTACAAAATTCTTGCATGTATTCTCCTTAGTTCTAAATTAATTAACATTCATTTAATTAATATTAATTAGAATTTCACATTTACATTCACGTTCATGTCCATATTATTAATTCTCAATTAACTAACATTAATATTAATTAGAATTTCACATTCAATATGTATTTAACTTACAAACTGTAATAAATACTACAAAATCTTTGATCGTCCATGTATTCCCTATTATTTATTCTCAATTAATTAATATTCATTTAATTAATATTAATTAGAATTTCACATTCACATTCATACATGTATTCCCTGCTATTAATTCTCAATTAATTAACTTTAAAATTGACATTAATTTAATTAATATAAATTAGAATTTCATATTCAAGAATGAAGTTCATTATTCACGTGTCATTCATCTCTATTTATCCATTTAGTTGTAATTCTAATACTCACATTCAAATATGCATTTCACTATTTACATGTATCTATAATAATTAATATTTATTTTCAACGACTTGTATTTCTCTCATATTTAAATAAAAAGGGAAAATGAAGAGTCAAATATTACTTTCATAGAACTTATAAAGTATTTCAGAATAACATTGAACGCACGTTCATCTTTGATTATTATTTATAAATGATCAAACTACTTTTTATTCATACATTTCGTGAGATTTATGAGTATTAGTGACATATTCACCACTTATTTCTATTTATAAATAAAATCGATTATCAACACTTCGAAAACAAGCTTTAAATTGATTTTAACTACTAAATCAGCCATCACTCCAGTAGGCTCATTAACGGAACTCAATTTGTGTGGCTTGATTGCTTGTAAATTAAATAGTAGTGGTCTTATTGCACTAAAATAGAAGTTCAAAAGACCTAAATGGTGAAAGTTTAGTGACCTCCATTGCAATTATAGGGAGCTAACTCGAGAATAGACAAATATGATGACACGCTGTTAGTTTTAACGGACATGTCAGGAAACTCATTAACGAAACTCTAATGGAGTGATTTGATTGCTTGTAAGTTGAAAGCATAGTAACTTGATTGCTTCAAATTGAAGTTTCCAGTTACAAGTATAGAGAAAGTTCAGTGTCCTACAGTGAAATTTACCCTATTTAAGAACATAAATTGACACGTCTTTTATTCATTATTCAAAGTTAATGACTTAAAGTTTGTTTTATATAGCGCTCAATGGGGTGTAATAGGGACAAGGAGCGGGTATTAAGCGTGCGTGACATGCCGTACGCTCCAATACCTTAATTTTCTCGAAGCAAAAATCGTCAATCTTTCACTATATAATAGGTAATTAAGCCCCAAGACAACGTCGTTCCTGTAAGTCCACTAGTCTACTATCCATTACAACTTTCTATTTCGAATTTCAAAATTGAAAATCCCCAGTCCTCAACAGTATATTAATCCTCACATTCAAGAATTGCAATCGCTCTCTATTCTCTCAATTTCCATCTGTTTTTCTCAGTCATCTTTTGCTGAAATCTCTGTACTTCCTTCGGTTTTGTCTGAAAATAAATTATTTTTTTGGGTTTTTAATCTTTATTTTTCTTCCAAAATGGGTGCTTCTGGGAAGTGGATTAAATCACTCATTGGTCTGAAAAAGCCAAGATCAAATGACTCTGTAAGCTAAAAATCTCTGTATTATCTTTATATGAGTTTTTTGGTGTTTTATGCAATGATTTGTACATTGAACTGTGTTGAGCTTAATTCATACGCAATGGTGTGTTCGGTTGAGAAGATAAATGAGATAAAATCTTGTTTGTCATAGGTAAATTGAGTATACTACTCTTCATATATTAAGTCGTTCTAATATTCTTTTTGAGTTGTTTTTTTTGTATGAGAGGCGTGAAAAATGAAACCATGTACTCTTCTTCGTGCAAAATTCTGTCTGATCTTTGTGTGTTTGTTTAGATTATTATGGCACTCGTAATTGGATTAAAGTCTTAATTCATAAAATAAATATCTGGGTGTAGGTGAAGGATGAGGGTAAGGGCATAGTGCATCTGGAGGCATAACAATGGCGTCGAAGGGGGATAAAAGAAGGGGAAATTTAGCAGTGTCCGAGGTTTCTGAATCGTCTTCCTATGTGTTTGATGGCGAAATGGCTAATGCTGTGGCTACAGTAATTAGAGCTCCACACAAGGATTTCATGGTGGTTAGACAAGAATGGGCTGCTGTTCGAATTCAGTCTATGTTTCGAGCTTTTCTGGTAATCCCTGTTTCTTTCATTCTTTGTGTGTTTTGATTCAGTTTTTTATATCAATTTGGATATAAGTTGTTTCTATTTAATAAAGAAAATAAGGAGTAATCAGATATTTTATAGAATCAGAAATTGGGAATGGTAATAACTAAGAACCATCTAGTTTTTTACACGAATTAGACACTGAAACATATGTTCCAGTTGTAGAAGAGAAGTTTTGTTTCTGGTGAGAAGGGTTTCATTTGCCTGAACAATTGTTTTCCACGTAAACGGGCATTTAAAGATGTGCCATGAGGGGACATGCTTATCAGTTAAAATTGGTAAAACAAAATCTTTATTTGAATATATTTGTTTTGTTAATTGTAAGACTTTATTTTTCTTATATTGTTTGGAGTTGAGAATGCCACATTAATCGAGCTGAATACATTGTTAGTTGCCTTCTATTAGTGTTGACGAATTGTAAGGAAGCTAAATTTTGCTACTCCACTATACTTCTTCCATTTTAAACGACTTTTCTCTCTGAAATTCTGAATATGAATGAAGGCAAAACGTGCCTTAAGGGCGTTGAGAGCATTAGTTAGACTACAAGCTATAGTTCGAGGTCGACTGGTTAGGAAGCAAGCCGATGTAACACTTAGATGCATGCAGGCTCTTGTTAGAGTTCAGGCCCGAGTTAGGTCTCACTGCATTCAAACATCGGTCGAGGGGGAGGTCACAAAGAATCATGCCGAAGCTGATCCTCTTAAGAAGGCTGAGGTACGAATAGCTAAAAGCTTTGATAGATTTAAACTTTGTGTATATTTCTTCATAAACTCGTCATTATCACCTTTTGCTTGTTATTTCAGCAGTTGAGAGAAAAACCAGTCTCAAATTCTAGAACAAACAAAATGGCTACTCCAAAGAAGGTGGATAAGAATAGTTCAAGACACGATTGGTTAGACCAGTGGATGGAAACGAAGCCATGGGAGACTAGGTTGATTGAAGAACTCAACGACTCATCAGACACAACACCGATTTCTACGAAATATGAAGATTGTATTGCTGAATTGCTTTCAAGTTCGTCAGATCATGATTCAGTGAGAATAAGACGCAATTACATTTCTACGAAAAAATCCTCTAGAGTTCCAATAAGTTGTCAAATTACTTGCTCCCCTTCTGATCAATGTACTGAATTTCCATATGATAAGAGTACAACGTCAAATTCATCCACAACTACTTCTGAGGGACAGGGCACTAATCCCAGCTACATGAGTTTAAGAGAATCAATCAAGGCTAAGCAGAAACCACATGCTTATTTGTCAAACACTCATAATATGCAGAGGCGTTCTTATGAGGATTTACAATATCGTAGAAAACCAAGTTCACTTTCGAGGGGTGTAACTCAGAGAAGTACTGATACTAATTGTTCAGTTGATTTGTGTCGGGATCTCTATACAGTGCATAGGAGTACGATGGGGTGAGAAGTCGAGGTTATTAGAAAAGAAGAGACGTGTTCCAGTTCTTGAAGTTGTTCAATAGCTCATTGTCTTCTTATGAATCTGAAATTTGCTCGGATTGAAGATTAGCTTTTTCGTTCCAGTGTGGAGCTTTCTGTTTTACATTTTAAACACATTGAATGGGGGGTTAATTTCACAAATGGTCACTGAAGTTACATGAAAATCACAAAATGGTCACTGAAGTTCGAAACATGCAGAAATGGTCACTCAACTTTCAAGCGGTTTCATAAACGGTCACTAAAGTTAGTTTAGGACTGTTTTGTTTTAATTCAAGCCTAAAGAACCAGAACACGTGGACATAGAATTGGAGGGCCTCAATTGCAAAATTCAATTTGTTTTTTGTCCAGAACAAGTTCTTCTTTCTTCTTCTCTTCAGGTTCTTCTTCCAAAGTCTATCTTCTTGAATTTTTTCTTCAACGAAATTCTTGCTGAAACCATGGATTGGAAGGATGAAAATGGTTGTGGTTAAAGAAAGAGTTGCTACTTCAATTTGTAGGTCTATTGGGAAATACATGCAGATCTACCATTCCATGGGCGTGATGCACCAGGACCTTAAGCCGGAGAATTTCTTATTGTCGGACGAGTAAAAAAGCTTTGCTCAAAGCAACGATTTTGGATATTCGGTTTCAATTGAAGAAGGTGTGTCGATGTTGGTGTTTTCAATTTGTGACGATGAAAATGGTGGTTAACTTTGCTCTTCAACGATTGGGCGAGGTTCAAGCTTCTGCACATAAATGGATGTTGAATACATGAATGTCAAGAACGGGAAAGAGGACTGACTTATTATGTGAAGAATATGAGCAGTGACCGGAGGTGGTCCGGTGGTTAGTTTTGTGGCCGGGTTGGGGTGGGGTGTTGCAGAAGATAAATGATTTGGGGATTGGGCATTTTTTTTTGCTAACAAGGCCCAAACAATGCATTTTCTTCAGTGATTTTGATAGCCAAATCCTTGTTGAAGTGGAAATTCTTTCCCATTCAAAGGACTTTGTATCAGTTCATCTTGATTTTCTAGAACAATTTGCTTTCAATTTCGGCCGATTTAAGGGAAATTGATGAGAACCCATATGTGCATCTTGTTCTCCATGAAGAGTAGAAGGTAATAGTAGTGATGCGCAACCGTAATTTGTTGACGTCGGCGCCAGAAAATGGGGAAGAATGTCTGATGTTCACTGCCGTCAAAATTGTTTGGTTTGAATTCTGATTTAAATTGTTTCGTGACAGCATGAGGCCATGTAACTGTTCGTCTTGGGGAGTATTACCTGCTTGTGATGGAGTTTTGGCATTGGTGATGATGGGTTGGTCGGAATTGGAGATAGAACCGTGTGCAGGGACTGATTTTTGAACCTGAGATTCAATTGATTTTTGGTTGGTTGGGGCTGGATGTTGGTATAGGATTGTTGGCCGGAATGATTAGGTGTTGATGATGCAAAAATTCGATGGTTTAATCGGCAGCATGGAGGTCGAATTTAGCCTTGAAGCCGTCGGTTCCACACTGTGACAACGGAGAAGATGAACCTGTTCTGGACAAAAAAAATTGAATTTTGCAATTGAGGCCCTCCAATTCTATGTACACATGTTCTGGTTCTTTAGGTTTGAATTAAAACAAAACAATCCTAAAACTAACTTCAGTGACCATTTATGAAACCGCCTGAAAGTTGAGTGACAATTTCTGCAAGTTTCGAACTTCAGTGACCATTTTTTGATTTTCATGTAATTTCAATGACCATTTGTGAAATTAACCCATGAATGGGATATATGTTTTTTAGAGGTTTTTGCAGATAGGAAAGTGTAGAAGTAGAGGTTTTGGATATAAGATTTTGAAGAAACTTTAATAATATGCATTTTCATTATCCTTTTCTAATTTAGAAGTCTGTTTTTGTAATCATTTGAAGGTTAGTCGACAATATTGAAGAAGAAAAAGTAATTTAAATTTTATTCATTATACAATTCAGTCTTTCCAGTACATTATAAATTGAAGGAATGAAGTGGATATCAAGATGTACCATCGACTTTTCAAGAAAAAAACTTTCAAATCTGTTTGGCTTTCTACTTTGAAGTGGGAGTGAATGGTCAATCAAAATTCAATCCTTAAGCCAGTGAAATGGATAAGCAAATCTGAAATGACGTCTTGGAGAGTTTCTGTAGTTGAAAGGCATACAATCCATTGGAATACATAGACGCGAATGATTCCATTTACGAAATATCCAATATGTAATGGACAATTTTGGGGATTGAAATACCTGGATCGATCCACCCGACTTCCACACCTATTATCAAGTCCGGGACCCCATCGGTTAAAGAACCAAAAACCATGGAACAAATTAGTTCTAGGTTCTGTTCATTTTTCTTTGGATTCAGACCGGAGCTCCGATTTCAATTCGCGAGGTTCGATTTCGATTCAAATGCTCACTTCTAGTATAAAGGGTGATTTGTTATTTTCAATTATGAATATGGTTGTTTATTTAACTTTTATATTGACATATTTTTAGATGTAATTATTTCTTTTTTACCGTTAATATTAAGTAAAAAATATATAAAATATTAATTATTGAAATGTAGGGGGTAATGTGTACACATGCAAGGCATATTTTGCAATAGTGAAAATGGTCATTCAGGCTAGATCGAGCGAGCCACAAATGATTCCATTTACAAAATATCTAATGTGTAATGGACGATTTTAGGGATTGAAATATCTGGACCGATCCACCCGACGTCCGGACCTATTATCAAGTCCGGTACCCCATCGGTTAATGAACCAAAAACCATAGAAGAAATTGGTTAGGTTCTGGTTCCTTTTGTTTTGGATTCGAATCGGAGCTCCGATTTTAATTTGAAATGTTTGATTTCAATTCAAATGCCCGCTTCTAGTATAAAGGGTGATTAGTTATTTTCAATTATGAATATGGTTGTTTATTTAACTTTTATATTGACATATTTTTAGATATTATTTCTTTTTAACCGTTAATATTAAGTAACAAAAAAATATAAAATATTAATTATTGAAATGTAGGGGGGTAATGTGTAAATTCGTGCAAGGCATATTTTGCAATTTTCCTTTCTTTTTTTTTTGTAACAATGAAAAGGTCATTCGGGCTAGATCGAGCGGGCCGCGAGCTGAGCCGGGCCAAAATCGGGCCACACCTGAATTTCCTCATATTATTCTGGAACAATCCAGCGTTTACTTCCTGACGAAGAAAAGAAGTTGAAATAAAGATCTCAAATTTGGATTTCCACCCACAAAATCCATTGAAAAACAAATTCTACAAATTTCAGAATCTGCAATTGACTGAAAAGGGGGAGGAGTTGCAGAAGAAGAGAGAGATGAACGGAGGAAGGCGAAGAGGTGGGATGCTTCCGCTACTGGCGCTGCACGCGTTGAGCGAGTACTACAGGCTGGACAGAAAGCCGCCTGTCACGGCGGGGCTTATAGCGGCCAACACCATAATTTACTTGAGACCCGGGTACCTCAATCGGATTCTCCCTACTCTTAATGAGGTCTGGTTCAATCCCCACCTCATCCTCAAGGTAATAGCCGTACTTAATCATTTGTTTATTGTAATTGTTTGAGATTTTATTGTACTTTGAATTGCTCCATTTAATAGGGTTTTTATATTGGTGGGAGTTGAAATTAATCTTCACTGGTGCTGCATTGATTTAAGTAAGGGGCATTGATTTGATAATTCCAGTTTATTCATTGGCTCTGTTGTTGAATTGATTCAACCTTTTTTGAGGCTCTAAAGGCTGTTAATTCTTCAAATATTAATCAAGAACGGGTGGATAGGTTGGTGGATCAGGAAAACGGTTGGTAGAGGTGGGGGAAGAGAGGGGTTGGTGGTGGTGGTGGTGGGACGCGTTGTGATGGTTGGTGGAGGTAGTTTGGTGGCAGAAGTGGCAGATGATTTCACATAGTTTAGCTATTTATTTATTTATTTGTATTCAGTTCTATGGCCAAAAATGGATGCAGAAGGGTTATTTAAGTCACATAACGAGACATAGTTTTGATTAATGTAATTGGTTGGTTCACCTTTTTGTACCCATTAACATATTGGGTGTGCTAGTAACTAGTTATGGATGAACTAATGGCCATATGGCATGGTGAGAAAATGGCGAATTGTGATTCTTACATGGCTACAGTGATATTAGTATGTGTTTCGATGAGTGGTGGCAGCAATGGTGGTGAATTTGACTGTCCGGGTTGCAACAATAACTGTTTTTCTCACCTGGCCATGTGGGGCATGGGGTTGTTGGGAGTGGCTGTAGTGTTGTTGCAGTTGAGATGTGGCATGGACTGATGGTGGCAGCCCAATAGTGGATGGTGGTGGGGATGAAATCATGCTTGTTTAAGCTCGAGAAGAAAACTTTTTTGTTTCCAAATGTGTTTGGATACATCTTATATTTTTTTAAAAGAAAATTGCTTTTCCAAAAAATTAAGCCAAACAGAACTTATTTGCTTATACTTATTTATTTTTTTAAAGTTTGGCATCTCCTATTAACTTCGGTTGTGACCGGGGATGTGGAGCCTTGTCCCTTTCTGAGACTTTTCTGAAACTTTAGGAATTAGGCGTAATTGTCCCTATTGTGCTTGTCTTCTCATATGATTAATTTCCATTTTGTTGGAACAGCACAAGGATCTGAAGCGCTTTCTCTTGTCAGCATTCTATCACATTGGCGACTCTCACCTTGTTTATAATATGTTATCACTATTATGGAAGGGAATCCAGTTGGAGAATTCAATGGGAAGTGTTGAATATGCATCTATGATTGCGACTTTAGTCGGTATGTCCCAAGGAATGACACTACTGCTAGCTAAATTTCTTTTGCTTTTCGACTACGAGAGAGCATATTACAATGAATATGCTGTGGGATTTTCTGGTGTGCTTTTTGCCTTGAAAGTTGTCCTCTATTCCCAGTCAGATAACTATACATACGTTCAAGGGATAATGGTACCGTCTCGTTATGCTGCTTGGGCAGAGCTTATTCTCATCCAAATGTTTGTTCCGGGTGTCTCTTTCCTCGGCCACCTTGGGGGAATTCTTGCAGGCCTTCTCTATTTATTTGTACGATCTTCATATTCGGGTCCTGATCCCTTGACGAAGATAATCAGAGGTGTGACCAGTATTCTTAGGTGGCCTTTGCAATCTCTACTGGGCATGTTTCGTTTTTCACGAAGGAGAATTCATGGTGGGGGAACTGTTGGTGGGAGTCGGTCGAGACATGTATCTGGTGTATGGAGATGTCAAGCATGTACGTTTGACAATTCAGATTGGTTAAGTGTTTGTGAAATGTGTGGGACACATTGTGATGACGGTTTGTCTTCTTTAGATACTCCGTCCCGTTTCGATGACCTTGCTCTAGATGAATTACGACAGCGTAGAGTTCAGAGGTTTGGAAGATGAGTTGTGTCGAGAAGATGCACATTTTCCTTGCAAATTTCATCTGCTGAAGTCGATGATAATTGAAAAATAACTTTGATGTTCGACAGATATGTAAAAGTCTATTTTGAGATTTTGGCGGACATATTACACTGTCCATTCAAGAACCTAATTGTCAAATTATTAATACAAATTGCATTACATTTTTTTGTCACCTAAAGTTAGTCCATGTTTGGGCCACATTATTTTTTTCATTCTCATTTTTCTACTCATTTCCAATCACACATTCTTCAATAAAATAATATTCTCCATTATATTAATAGCTTTTCTTTCTTTTTCAACCACATATTCTCCATCACATCACTTCAAAAAAATGCATTCTTTTATTTTAATGTGTACCAAATGAGCTTTTAATATTTTCCATCTAAAATAAAAATAATAAGTTTTATTCAGAAAATCAACAATAAATTAATTTATCTTCCTCTATAACCATTGGCTTTGTTAGTACCCTAGCCTATATTGTTACTGTCTTCTTCTACTTGAATGGGGTCTTGTCATCGAAGATGCAAGGTTAGTTTTAGAATTTAGAATGTCAAGGCCAAGTGAAACAAGTGAAGGAGTCTTATAATTATAAAGTCAAAAGAACCATTTGAATTCAAATTTAAATTCAAATATTGTACTATGAAAGAGACGTGATTAGTATGTTAATTGACAAAAAGATTAAATCCAACCGTTAAATTTAATCTATGGTTTATAATACACATCAACTAGCACAATCCTTTCAAAGTATTCAAGATAAATACTACTCATGTGCCAAGTGAATTTAAGTGATCCATCTTAAGCTAAAATTATCAGTACATGTAACTTTTTCAAATAACTTAGATGAGTATTGAGTAGTGAGACTATAAAAGATATGTTTGAATGATGGAGCCTAAGAAGTAATGATAAGTGCATTTTGTGCACTTATTAAGACCATATCATTTAGTATAAATCGATAAATAAACATAAGAAATAAGTAAATATTTGATTTGAGTTTGAATGGGTATTTAATTCTTGATTATTGGAAAAATCGGGACACCATAAAACTTGCACCACTCAATTTAATTTATTTTACACTTTTGTACCCCAATTACCTAAAGAGAAATGCTACATCTATAGTCTTTTTACACATATATTTTGACAGCCCTCTCAGGTGGTTGTGGGGGCCACAATCGCTAGCCCCACACCTATGTGAGAAGGCTTTCAAACTTAGGGCCTGTTTAGCACAGATTCTCATTTTCAACAGTAAATCAATTCTTATTTTCAACCACACATTTTTCAATAAAATAATATTTTCCATCACATCAATACTTTTTTCTTCTTTCAACCACATATTTCCCATCATATCACTATTCAAAAATCAATTCTTCCTCCAAAAATCCCTACCAAACACACTCTTACTGTGTTAGCTAAATGTTTTTTGAAAAGTCACTTGCTTTAATCCTCGAAAAAAGTCGCTTTTTTCCTTATTTTTCAACCACATATTCTCCATCACATCACTTCAAAAAATTGCATTCTTGCATTTTAATGTGTACCAAACGAGCTCTTAATATTTTCCATCTAAAATAAAAATAATAAGTTTTATTGGAAAATCAACAACAAATTAATTTATCTTTCTCTATAACCATTGGCTTTGTTAGTACCCTAGCCTATATTGTTACTGTCTTCTTCTACTTGAATGGGGTCTTGTCATCGAAGATGCAAGGTTAGTTTTAGAATTTAGAATGTCAAATTATAGAGTCAAAAGAACCATTTGAATTCAAATTTAAATTCAAATATTGTACTATGAAAGAGACGTGATTAGTATGTTAATTGACAAAAAGATTAAATCCAACCATTAAATTTAATATATGGTTTATAATACACATCAGCTAGCACAATCCTTTCAAAGTATTCAAGATAAAGCCTAAGAAGTAATGATAAGTGCATTTTGTGCACTTATTAAGACCATATCATTTAGTATAAATCGATAAATAAACATAAGAAATAAGTAACTATTTGATTGAGTTTGAATGGGTATTTAATTCTTGATTATTGGAAAAATCGGGACACCATAAAACTTGCACCACTCAATTTAATTTATTTTACACTTTTGTACCCCAATTACCTAAAGAGAAATGTTACATCTATAGTCTTTTTACACATATATTTTGACAGTCCTCTCACGTGGTTGTGGGGGCCACAATCGCGAGCCCCACACCTGTGTGAGAATGGCTTTCAAACTTACTGTGTTAGCTAAATGTTTTTTGAAAAGGCACTTGCGTTAATCCTCGAAAAAAGTCGCTTTTCCAAAAAGAGAATCAATGAAAAACACATCCTAATTATCTTTTCGTCAACTCGATAAATATAAGTCGCGCTTTAAGATCGCCGGCGAAAGCGAACAGAAAAGAAAAAAATCCCATCTCGGTGGTATGTTCTATAGCGCACATTCTCTCACTCTCTCTAAAATGGCACTATTTTCTCGTCCAGCTGCATCTTCACTGATTCAGATTAATCGTTCCATCCCCTCATTTTCTCTCACTAAAAGAATTTCATTTAGCAAGTTCTTCCATTTCAAGCGGATTCTCCAAGCTTCCCTGCGTTCTGGTCAGTTTTTAATCAATTTCTCATCCATTAATTATCAGTTTCAGTTGTGTGCATTTCTCTGTGAATCCCTCTGAATACTATATGTGCTTATATGTTTATGGTGTCCCTTGTTTATATATGCGCTTAATTTATTTATGTAGTGCTGTAGTATATAAATTTTCTTTGTTCCAGCGCTTGTAATTTGAACAAAATAATCTGACTAATACAGTAAGTTTAAGGACGAAGTTGTTGACTTCTGGGGTTATACAATTATTTTGATTTCGTGTTTTCTTCGTCCTAATGCTTATATTTGAAACAAAATATTCTGTCTAAGATAGTGAAGTCTCTGCGTATTTTTTTTTTTCAATGTATTATTAGAGTCTATGAAATTATTTAGATTTTTGGAAGGAAAATGGAATTTTCTATTATATAGGGAGAAACAATTTTGAAGACATTAATAATTAACTCACCTATCTTTATTTCTTGACAACGTAACTGTAGCGGGAAAGTAATGATCAAGTCCTTCTACTACCAGCTGATTATAATTTCACGTATTAGGCTCATTGGAATAAAGAGGTCGAATATAAATAATTAAATTTGCCCATAACTATGAATATTAAGAGAATGTTGACCAAAGTTCCCCTATCTTGAACGTAGATTGTGGATGTAAAATATATCACATATTCTTTTTTGTTCAATCTGAGGTATTAATATTCTTCCCTAGCAATATTTGTGAATTTCAATTGTTCAAGTAGAAATGGGATTATTTGTTGTATTACAGGTCCGGCAAGTTATGAAAGTGGAGGACAAGCTTCTATTGAGCAATCTGAAATCATTTTTTTGGGGACAGGAACCAGTGAAGGAATTCCACGTGTTAGCTGTCTCACCGATCCTATTAAGAAATGTCCAGTAAGCCAATCAATATAAGATGTTTATGCAAGTTTCTGCGCTTCGCAAAAATGGCTTAGAGTTCTTTTTCTGGAATACTATTAAAATATAAACAAAATAACATTATTGGTGGTCTCATGCAGGTTTGTTCAAAAGCCGTGGAACCAGGTAACAAAAACAGGAGACTTAACACAAGTCTGCTCATTCGTGTCCCTAGGCCGTCGGGAAGCTGCAACATTCTTATTGATGCTGGCAAGTAAGTTACAGGTGCTTTCATTATTTAATACACACTTTGGAAACAAAATTTGCCTCATTTGTTCATTTCAGTTCTATTCTGTTGAAGACTAGATTTAAGTAAATAAATGTGTCCTTTCTCTAATATACACTTAGGAAACAAAATTCGCCTCATTGAGGATGTACGGGGTTCGATTTTGATCTATTATATTTTTTGCTTATCTCATGAATGATTGTCCATATCACTGCAGTGTCTTTTGTCTTCTTCCTCGGTAAAGTGTTAAGAAGTCTCTGTTGTAAGAACAAGGATAGGTTCTATATCTCATTTGAGTTTCCATTGCCTATCACATATTCTATATTCATAATTAGTAGCATTCATGCAAAAATTTACTGTCGCAGTATTCATGTTAATGGCATTTGGTTTCTTCTGATTAAATTCTGGAGAGAATGGAAAAAAGGAATGGGAATGGGAATGGGAATGGGGAAAACATAATTTCTACTGTATCTATTTATTCTTGAAATGAGATATTCAATAGCTGTGTATTAATCTAGCAGTTTACTTTTATGATGCAGGTTCTTCTACCATAGTGCTCTAAAATGGTTTCCAACTTACGGGTAAGCTACCTTGATTTTACTCTCCCATGGATATTACATTTATTCTGAAGGATATTAAAGTTCCTGAAATGTTTAGTACCCACTTGATTTATTTATTTTTATCGGTAAATAAATATGTATAGATCAAAAAATAGAGTACAACTACTCCGAACATACCCTGGCTTACAAAATAAACATTACAAAGATCTAATGATCCAAAGCAAGAGATTCAAAATGAATCCTGATAAAGTTTCATTTCCAAAACATGTAGTGTCGAATTCCGTTGTTAACTACTTGAGGATATATGAAGGGAGTTCCCCTTCTTTCTATCATTTTTTGTTACTGTGGTAGTTTGCTCATTGAGTTTCCCTTTGAACTTTTCATTAGAGGCTGCCTTCAAACTGGGGCTTTCACAATCCACGGCCACAGTTTGATGATGATCTGACTGTTCTCTGCAATCAGACGATCCATTCTATTGTGTCCAATTTCCTGCAATCTGTCCCTTCGGTTTATTATTAAGTTTCTATCAAAAACCTCAACGAGTGGAACTTCTAGCTCATCTTTTTACTGCATACCCTCTGTTCCATCTTTATTGAAGCTAATAACGCTTGGAACAGTTGGTTGCTCCACATGTGTGCCCGTTTTCTGGGTAACACCTATAACCTGTGTTTTTAAGTTGCACCCACGAATAGTGTGACCAAACATTTTGAAATTCGAGCAAAATTTGGGCTCACGTTCATAGGAAACAAGCTAATCCCTCGACTTTCCGGTGGGCAGTTTTAACTTCACTGATCGGACCAAGTCTTTGAAAGCGTCGACTTCCACAAGAACTCTTGCAAACGAAAATCGGCCCTTTGTTGATGCGAGCTTGTTGGTAGATATTGGTTTTCAAACTTTGGAGGCAATCTTCCCCAAAGCATTTGTATTCCAACAATCCAATGGCAACCCCAATAATGTTATCAAAACCAGTATAGTACTAATCTCATTGTCATCGAACTGAAGCATCGAGGCATGACTTTCAACATCAAAGGTCGCCCATAAACGAAATAAGGCCCACCTTCAAGAACCTTAAGTCTATCATCCGCACTCTCGAATTTGAATACCAACCATTCACTTTGATGCACAAAGTATTGATATTTCACTTTCCAAAGATCGCATATTTTCAAAAGTGCCGATTTGCCTTGGAAACGTCCAGCAAAGTACCCCACCAAACAGAAACCCCAAGCTGTTTGAACGTCGTGCTCGTCCAGAATGACTTCGTCTTGAGGATCATCAAAACTTTGGAGCTTAATGCCTTCATCGTGCTTCCTGTTATCTTTAAAAAGATTGACCAAGAAGGTTTCGGCGGATCCATCTGTTTTACTTTGCTAGAATCGTTATTTTGAGGTTTAACAGTCGGATATCCAGGTTATGTGGCTTTCTCAACAGATTTTGCATCTTCCTTTTCAGAAATAGTCTGATTACCTTGGATAGAAACATTATTTTTAGGTTTTGCAGCCAACTCCACAGATGCGGTGTCTTCCTCTTCATAATCTGTTTCTTCCTTTTCAGATTTTGTGCCTTCTTCTTCATCTTCTAAGACTTGTCTCTCAGAATCCTCAGATTCTGCATCGTCCTCCCCTAGTGTTTGAGACACACTTGAAGAAGAAGCTCCATACATTTTACCATGTGCTGGACAAACGGTAGAAGGAGCAGTGACTGCCTTACCAAGAGCTGGAGAAACAGTTGATGTTTTGGCAGCCATAGCCGAGATTTCAAACCTGTTCTTGTCTGGAACTTGTGTAGAAGATGCCCTGTTTGCCTGAACAAAAAACTGCTTCATGGGAACAAACTTCTGGCCATTTTTCTTCTCCCCCATTGAGCAGTGGCGAGAAAAAACTAGGCGTGCAGGCAGAAAAAACTCCTTGGAAGAGCTAGAGTGGTCGGATTATGCAAGGAAGGCTGAGAGAAAGTTCAAAATTCTGTTTGGAGGGGAGAACAGAATTTGAAAATTCCCCGAAACAGAAAGAATCTGCTGTCTGGAATTGCCTGAAATAGCCTGCACTTACCTAACGGGATGTGAAATTCAAATTTTCAAAATGGGTGGAAGAAAATTTGAATTTTTTACCCGAATAGGTAAAAACCAGCTGCAAGAACACTCTTGAATCTTCAAGAATAATGTCAAAAACCTGCTGGCTGCTCGCCGGTTACAAATCTTTCAAGAATAATGCCAGACACGTTTGTTTCCTTTCCCTACGGTGTCATTCAGGACAAAATTGAACCACAATATTGTTATATACCATGTAATTGCTCGTTTTCATGTCCTTGAACATGTACTTCATGTGAAATAAAGTTTTGTTAAACAATGTATCTTTTTTGTTGTTAAGTGATAAAATCTCACATCCAATAAAGATGAAAACATAGACCAATGTATAAGAGTTTGAACTACTCCTCTTAATAAAGTTGATCTTTTAAGATGAACCTCAAATCTTAACATGGTATCAGAGTCCATTAAACTCCAACGAGCAATTCGATTCGATTAAAACTCAAAAAATTGAGTACACGAATTTCAAGATTGATTTACTTAAACGAGCCACCATCTTGAGGGGGCATGTTAAGGGATAAAATCCCACATCGAATAAAGATGAAAACATAAACCAATTTATAAGAGTTTGGGCTACTCCCCTTAATAAGGTTGATCTTTTAAAATAGAACCTCAATCTTAACATTTGTGCATATGGGCCAGATTATGCTCATGGAGTTTGATAGGAGAGTCTTAAGATTATTTGTAATGTGTAACATAGGTTTGACTACATGAAGAAATTTTATGCTTTAGATTGAGATTTATTTGGTCTTTTCATTCCTTCACGTCCTCTTTAAATTTGATCATGTGAAATGTTTCAACAAGTCTAGATGGTTCAAAATCTACAGGTAATTTCTTTGCAGGCTTTTTATCTTCCAGTTGCTCTTTGTTTTAAGGTTTCGAGTTATTATGTTGCAGTGCCAAACTTTCCTTATTTGTGCTCTTAAATATTTGTCTGCATCATATTTTGGATGGTCACCTATACGCCTTCTTGTGACTACTTGCATTTCTGCCAGGATAAGAACAATTGATGCGGTTATTATTACTCATTCTCATGCTGATGCAATTGGAGGTCTTTGACATTTACACTTTCTGATATTATTGTAGTCATGCCTTCACGTGGAAATCACACGTTCATTGAAATTTGTTTGTTGTGTAGGTCTGGATGATCTTCGTGATTGGACAAATAACGTCCAGCGCCATGTTCCTATTTACACAGCGGAGCGTGATTTTGAGGTACATTCCTTCTTGAACCTGGAACGAATAATTTTTGCTTGCAATCAATAATATATGGTAATATCAGTGAAATATGTATGGGTTTGACTGTGCTAATTTTGTGCGAAGATTATTCATGATCCATCAAAGGCATTTCTGGTTACCAAGTGTCATGTGCTGAATCCGAGTCATAATATTTTTATGTTCCTCATTACAAGCTATGCTGGATTCTCTCTGTAATTTCAGGTGATGAAGAAAACTCACTATTATTTAGTAGATACAAGTAGTATCATAACTGGCGCTGCAGTTTCAGAGTTGCAATTTAACATCATACATGAGAAACCATTCATCGTACATGACCTCCAGGTGAGAATTCGTTTTGTCCTTTCATGATTGTTGAATTGATAATAAATATATGTTACTAAACCTAGAAATTTTAGTGTCAATAAGTAACTTTCTTTTATCATTATTGATGAGTATAAGATTTAGCATTTCTGACTAACCGAATGGTTACATTGTTACTATCTTAAAAGTTCATCTACTAGATGACTGGTATATTGCTTATTAGTTTGTACATATTCTACTTTTGCATGGGGATACCATGCATACCTCGCTCACAAGCCTACCGTATTGTTGTGCAGTTTACGCCTTTACCTGTGTGGCATGGCAGAAATTATCGTTCCTTGGGCTTTCGATTTGGCAAGATTTGTTACATTAGGTAAAAGTTTTTAATGTTTGCTTGTTAGTTTGTTTAGTCTTTGTAAAAGTCGGGCTAATCCTTATCTCACATTCATAGTGATGTTAGTGAAATACCTGAAGAGACGTACCCACTTCTCGAGGATTGTGAGCTCCTTATCATGGTCTCTCTATTCCTCGATCCTTCCCTCCTGACAAAACATATCTTCTTTAATTTCTCATCATTAATTGGCTTATGCCTTTGTTATTAGGATGCTCTGAGGCCAGATCGTTCTTCTTCAACACATTTTGGACTTCCGAAAGTGAGCTTTCATATTTATAGATTGATAATTGTTGTTGCGTTCTGCTTCAAGTAATAATTTACATCACATTTTTTCCAGGCTTTGGAGGAAGTTCGAAAAATCCAACCAAAAAGAACACTTTTTACGGGTATGTTTTCATAAACAGCCTAGCATGTTCTCTCATTTTTCCTTCTAGGTTCCTTATCATTTGGATAGTACAGACATCCTCGGCCATTGCATTAATTTTACAAGTTCGGTCCATTGACGTTGTCAAGGACTTAGATGTTGCAATTTCAGCAAATGAAATTTTATGTATTCAAACCCCTACCCCAAAGAAAAATGAAAAAAATAAAAATAAAGAGAGTAAATCTTTGTTTTATTATGTTTGTTGAAGGTATGATGCATCTGATGGATCATGATAAGGTAAATGAAGGTCTCATCAAATTGAAGGAGATGGAAGGTCTCGACGTACAACTTAGCTTTGATGGACTCCGCATGCCAATAACTTTATAGCCTCTGTTCTTCACCGTAATTTAGCTTGGCTATTCATTCTTGATTAAAGCTCGATGATAATAATTTGAATTTAATTGGATTGGCAGCTTTTGATATGTTTGATAC